ACGGAGGCAACCAACCAGAAAAAAAAGTTTGGTCCTAGAGTCATATCTTATGAAAGTGTCTTTTTAAAAGTGTTACTTTAACACATGCAAAAGAGTCGAAATGTGGCTAGTTCTCAGTTATCTGCTGCACTTTAAGAGGGATGCAAAGGCAAATAAATACTGGAAAAGCACTGAAAGCAGCCTTTAAATCCCAGATAAAGTAATGGCTTGACATGGGAGGAAAAAAAAGTGTTCCAGAATTGGTTTTTTTAGTCTCTTGATGGTATAGAAGTGCAAATAATGTCTGGGCATTGAATTACTCTGGCAGGAAAAAATCAATTTCAGGTGAATGCTCTTCTGATGGTGTTCTCGTAGCACGTGTTTAGATTGAGCCCAGCAGCCGCCTTCCCTTGACTAAACGCCGTTAAAGCTAGCTGCTTATGTGTCTGACAGTGAAAAATATGGCTTTCATGTAGCACACTCTATTGAATGCTCTTTGGTGGTGACAGAGTACAAGGTAAAGAACCCTCAACCCCCATTACACACACACGTGTGCACATATACATTTTGCAGAGCGAGCTTTTTTTTTTTTACACTTGAACATCGCATGCTCGAACGCAATTGAGAGAAACATGGAGCTTCTTGCGTGTCACGTCTTTGTTTCGGCGTTCCCGCTACAACTCCTGTCACACAGACGGACGTGTCGAAACTCGCTGAGAAAACCACAGAATGCCATTAAAAATTCATCTGGAAAAGGCAGTATCTTGCTGTCTTCCTTCAAAATGCCCAAATGCTTCAGAGGATCGTTTGTAAGATGATTTTTGAAGTTGCTTTCTCTGCAGCATAACACAGCTAACCGGCTAACGGCTAACCGAAACTGCTTGCAACCTTTGTTATCTTACTGGTAATCTTCTGATGTTTCTACCAATTTACATCACTTTTAGAGAAATCACAGTCAGATAAATGCGGGTTCCAGTGAGAGACACCGTACTTTTGTGAACATCTTAACAGAAAGTGTGGCAAATTGAACTGAAAGTAGTCCTCCTTCTCCGTGCCAGAAATGAAGGCCTTGGTTTTTTTTGTGAATGAATCGGCTTCTCCGGGCTGAAATCGCTTCTTGACCTCACAGACTAAGCATTGCGGGACACGAATGTAGGTGGGGAACACATAATTCTGTCCTCTTCAACTTTAATCAGGAGTACACTGACATGCCGCAGCCCCCTCCCTGTCTTTCATAATAATGGGCCGCTAAAAATTCAGGAGGCAGGCTCCACATCAATCACTCGCCAGATTTGAGTCCAATGCAATAAATATGCAAATGAGGAGAAGCCAGCGTCTCGTAGCTTTGAGATCTGCACCGGGAGGGGGGGGGGAAAAAAGGGAAAACTGTATTAATTGCCCATGGCCAGAGGAATCCTATTACTGTGGGCATTGATTATAAAATTGTATGTGTGAATGATTTTCATACAGAAAGTGGAGGTGCAAGCCTGGAGCAAAAAATAAGGAGAGTCGAATTTGCGATTTGAGTTACATTGTGCGAGGAACTAAAAGGGAAAAGACATTAACAGGAAAAAAATCTAAATCTGGGTTCAGAAATAGAGAATAAAAAGGATCTTTCATCCGTTGTAGTTTTAGACTCTTTCCCTATCTTCCTTCACACTTGTCCCCAGTTCTTAAGTGTAACTTTTCAGATATTGTGATGGCACAATGTTTAAAATTTTCAAAAATAGTTTAGATTTTTTCCATGATATATTGACATAGAGTGGGAGAAAAAAGTTCATAAAAGCTAGTCAACTTTAGATGTATTACACAGGTGAAAACTGGTTGAGCCATTTCCTTGTAAACCTGACATCCAACCACAAACAGGAAACATTATCAGGTGTCTTTTCAAATTCTTTCATTGGGCTGTTTCTTTTTTTTTAGTAAAGCATAATAAAGAGCTAGTTGGGAGTATCTAACCAAGCAACTGTTACCTAGCTTCAATGAAAAACTGGAAAAATAGCTTTTTGCCACAAGTGGTTGTCAGTTGTGAGTATCTGAGGACAAAATATGCAACAAATATAATGTTTCCACTTATATTTTCTGCAGAACATGCAGTATCTGCTTGCTGTATTTCTATTGGGCTCTATTTTTTCACGGTGCACGCATTTGAAGGCTGTTCAATTATTGCACTGCGATTTCTTTCCGTGAGGATGAACTAACTTTTTGTGGTTTATCGCACACTTGCCATAATCAGTATGCACTAGATTTAAATTGATTTGCCAGCCCCCGTGTTTGACTTGCAAATCTTCCTCTTCATCAAGGCTATTTGGTCAGATAAACAGGGATTACGCTAACAGCATAAAATTAACTGCTGAGCGAGGAATGTTTAAGGCTCCAGCCAGTTTGCTGGATGCAATAAAAATCTTAGATTTTGTTTATATGTTTCTCTGTTAAATCATTAGAAGAATCCTTAAACATTTTGCATTTAATACATCGCAGTTTCTCTTCTGTTAAACCAAAACTATCAAGTTTTTTTCTCGTACACTGTGTATTCTCCTGCTCAGACATATGCACAGAAGTTACTTGGTCTAACATTAAAAAACACACCATATTGTGGCAGAGTGCACAAGTTTAGGCTGTTTATGATTCCCTTCAAGGCATTAATTCACTTTGAGTCAATTACTATTGAAAATAAGTTAATTCAAGCAACTCCCAAATAACTCCAGATCATAATCGCGTTTGTTAAGTTGCAGTAATACAACTTTTCTCCTGTTAATTTGGGTTTAAGTTGGAGATTTTTAAGTAATATTCTTGATCATGATCTTGTGCATATAGCAGGAGCTTATGGTTGTAGGAATTCAGTAAATTTATAAAAAAGAATGAGATCCAAAGCTGTAAATTCTCTTTTCACAATAGTGTCCTTCTCTGGGTTAGGGTTAGGGTTAGGGTCACCTTTCCATGACTGAAGTCTTTAGCCTGTTCTCTAGCAAACTGTAACCATTCAACAAATGTCCTGACATCATAGAGAGGCTGCAGGCATTCACATCAAAATACCATAGACAGAAAAAAGCTTAAGAAGACCACTAAATTAACCTTTTAAAACATTATGAAATCCATCTGAATAAAATCCACACATCTGCAAAAAAGACCCAAGCAAAGTGGTGTGTGCACAACTTTTCATTTAACCCACTTGTCTCTGAATCGATTATTTTACTGGTCGAGCGTCACCAAAAAATTGGCACGGAAGAGGTATAAATTTAAATAACAGAGGTTTTGGGGTCGTGTCTTTGTGTATTTTATGGTAGAAACATTTTGAGCACAATTTCAAGCAGCTGTAGTTTTTGTTGATGATGCATTTGATGGAGATCATTTTAATTTAAAATGTAATTTTGCCTCATTTTGCTGCTGATTTAACAACAATAACCACTGACTGATCAAAAAATTACTGTAATTTAGAGATAATTCATACATGTTCTAATTCAGAGGAAATTATTAAGGTAGCTCAGTTTATTATTGCTATAAGAAAATTAAATGAAGAACCATTAAGGCACAAAAATTCAAATGTTTATCCTCTTAATAGTAGGAGATTATTAATCCACTGAAGTTTTTAAAAAACCCTTTTTAAAATGTTGACTGGCCTCACGACAGTAACACAGTACTGTTCATACACACTGGATTCCTAAATCCCATAAACATTTTTGTTTTTTGGGGTAGGGTTGGGTCTTATTAAAACTCTGACAATATTTTAAAAAGACATGTAAATCCTTGTATTTTCAAAATAGTACCAAACATGATCAATTAAAAAGCAATGGAGAACATATTTTCTCCTAAGAGAGAATAACAGATAACTATATCCTGTAAGTCAATACAGTAATGTTGGCCTCATGCATTCAATTGAAAATATTTGTCTTATTTTGCAGGATAATATAGATTAAGTTCGTATTTACCTTTTTCCCCTTAGGATCCATTTTCAAAAACCCTTAGCTGTGCTATAGGTTTTGCTGCAAACTTCCCAAAGAGTTACACGAGGTGAAGCCTCCGGGCAGCATATGACTAAAAATATTAGATTTTAGTTTTCAATTGGCAACAGTTCATTAGTATTTTTTGTTTATTTTTTCTTTGATGAGAACACAGTACAAGCCAGCACAGTGAATGACCACAGGAGTAGACTACAAAAAATTTGGTTCGTTTGCGTGAATTTGCCCATCAGAGTGATACAATTTTACTGAAATTTAATCCCCTGAACAAAGGAGGATTAAGTAAACGGCTGACCGGTCTGTACAGTATTGTCTGTTATTATACATACAGTTGGACTTTTAATGAGGTCCAATCATTTTCTATGACGTACTTAAAAAATAATCACATTTCTAAAGATAATGTCTTGAAGGCATAAGTGTGGGAAAGGGGGTGACAGGTTAAAGCAAAAATAATCTTTCAAGAATCCTGAGAGACATATTGTATTGATGTATGAAGCATCACAGTCATAATTTGCTGTCAAATTATAACATTCAGTTTTAAACATTAATTTAAAGGGGTGGAAGGTGTTTTTCGTCAGTACATGAAAAACACCAAAATATGCAGCCATGCACTTTCGTGTTAGAATTCCAAAGACGATCTCATGTTTGGCACGTAAAGGAAAGTGGCAATTCTTAGTATAATAATGGCATCATTTCAACAAACAATAAAAAGTGCATTTCTTTGTAAATAATTCATTAAATTAATTTAGCCCACGTCGGGCATGACTGGAGCTTGGCTTGAGAAAAGGAAATTAAAAAAGCTGACTGATAAACACATAGATTCAGCAAAAACTTTTGCAAAGTCCTTCATGTGTCTGAGGAGGGTTTGTAGAAGCTTTAAATAAAAATACTGAATGGTTATTGCTCGTTGAGTAACTTCAAATGATATGGGTTTCGGACAACTTTTTTTATTGTCTTTAAAACAAGTACCTGCATCATGACATAGCCTGTCAACAAAATGATAGATAGATATATAGATAAATAGATATAAATAAATGAATATT